AGATAAATGGGGCCCAAATTGGGACAAATATCTCAGCTTGGGCCCATACCCCATCATTCTCCCCTCAAATGAATGGGACCCAAATTATTTTGGGGTAAAGGGCAAAGGTCTCGGCCTCTGAAACTGCTTCCTGCTGGCAAGAGGCATAGAACTGTCCCTTCCTTGCTGGGTCCTGAGGTTTAGGGGTGCTGGGACCCCAAAATCACCATACACGAGTCCTGCCTGAATGAATTTGACCCAAGCCTTCTTTCAGCCAAAAACAAGGTTTATTAGAATATCCATCATATTGGGAAGACTCTTAAGGAGTCTAAGCATTTGTATCACTAATGCAAGAGGATCAGATCTTAAGAATCTGAGACTTTGGCTAGATTCTAAGAATTTGAGCATTACTGAGGATTGGCTAGATTTTAAAATGGCTAAAATTTTAAAATTAGATTTTAAAAGAATCTGAGCACTTTAATGGAGACAAGATGGACCTTATATACAGAAAGACTGTGGGAGGGATCTAGGAGTGACCAACTTTTGGGGTGACTGGAGGAGAGGTCTAATATTTTGTTGAAGACTTTTCTATCTTCTTCTTGAACTAGGTTGTATTGTATATTGTTCCCTCAACTCCTTCACAATTGCACTGCCTCAAGTAGGAATGTCCTCTTTACAAACTTGGTTAAGTCTAGCTAATAATTATTGATGGGGTTTGGGACTGCTGAAATGTCAGTGTACAGGGCAGTGTCTTCCTGGAATAAATTCACGAACTCAAACCATCTTCCAGTCAAGGGGCAAATTTTATTGTAACATTAGTAGAAGTGAGTAGGGTTCCTAGTGAACCTGCAATTTAATGGGGGTGAGACTGATGCTTATATACAAAAGGGACAATGAAAGGATCTGATTGGGATTAAGGAGTGATAAATAGTCTGGGGTGGGCCAGGTGCAACAGTGAAAGGAATCTCAAGTAAGGTAACTGGGTGATCAAGAGGCCTGGGGTAGGCCAGTGATCTGGGCTGCTGGAATATATGGAAAAATTCAGGGCCTTTAGGGGTCCAGGTCCCATCTTCCCATCAATAATAACAACAACAATAATAGCATTTGTATTTATATAGTTTATATGTGCCAAGTGCTATGCTAAGCACTTTGCAAATATTGATTCATTTGATCTTCACAACAACCCTGGGAGGTTTTTTTACAGATGAGGAAACTGAGGTAGACAAAGTGGTAAGAGACTTGACAAAGTCACACAGCTAGTAACTGTTTGGGGCTGGATTTGAATTCAGGTCTTCCTGACTCCAGGTCTAGCACTCTAACCACATCAATTCTTTGTTCTCTTTAGTACCTTTTCGCCTCCTTATAACCACCTTGGGAGCTACGATTTTAAGGTCCAGATGTGGTAGTTTCACTGTCCTTGATACAGAAAACCATTTGTCACATTGATTTTTATAAATCTTTTCTATTCCTCTTTTGCTTCTTGTCTTCCTTTAATGTTAATCCTTAAATGCCTTTGGGATGATCTTGCTTCCTTGAATATCTTACCAATCTTTAAACTGATCTTCCCTTCTACTACTTTTCTCTGTTTATTATCTTAATTTTCCATCATTCTTCATGAACACAAACACACAAACAAACAAATAAGTTTATATTCTAATCTGATGTTGCCTTTGGCAGCCATCTCTTCTTTTGGCAAATAAATTGCATTTTTGCTGCATAAGGTTTTTTCCTGGGCTCTATGGGTCTTTTTTTTTTGTGGCAATTAATTTACATTGGTTAACTTCTCCGTAAATATTACAATTGGTGTCATTGTCATTTCTGTTATCCATTTCTCATGTGGGACTGTCAATTACTTGTTTAAATAGTTGAATATTTAAAAAACAATTTCCCCAATTACTCAACAGATACATATTTTTCCTTTATCCTTTTTTCCCCCTAATTCTTATTTTAGCTTTGATAGATCAGTGGTCTAACTCTACATAGACAATTTACTCAGGGTTAATTCGCCATTGCATAGCTCAAAATCCAGCAAAGGGTTTGTAGTAACTCAGAGTGCAATGTCTGTGATAGTCATCATGGTGTACTTCACTCAAGCTGTTTTCTTCTAGTGGTGGCCAATCTCACAGCATGGCCCATCTTTCAGTAGGCTAAAAAATCTACAACCCCACCTTGGAAGTCTAAGCAATAGTTGTCAGAGCCCCAAGCCACAGTGCAAAGAGAGAGTGACAGAGACTTACTGAGGAAACAGATAAACAGAGACAGAGGCAGACAGAGAGACAGAGACAGAATATAAGTTGTTTTTCCTTTTAAACTGAGTCCATGACTCTTGCTGCTCAGTTACCAGTCATCTTCAATATAACCCCCAATGATGGGAGTACTTCAGACCAACCCTGGAGCTTCTACTAATGTATGATCCTTGGTAAGGGTCCAAAACATGGACCTATCACCTAGCACTCTCCCCAAGATGGTCCTTGTCATCCCAAAGTACAAGTCTTTCAATAAGGAGCTCAAGAACACACCTATCTACCCCATGAGGATACAGTGCATACTCCAAGGCCTCAACACCGATTTAAAAAAAAAAAAAAGCTAGTGGAAGAATTTTGTATTTTATCCCACAGGCAAAAGGGAGCCATTGAAAATTTTTGAGTAGGAGTGTGACATGGTTTAATTTGGTTTAAAAGGATCAATTTGGCATTTGTGTGGAGGGGAGATTGTGGAGAGAAGAGAATGGGAGAGCAGAAAGGAGCTTAGACAGGTGAGACTTCTCTCACCTAACTTAGGACCCTAACATAGGTAAAGGGTTTACGGGAAGAGAAAATAGAACAGACAGGAAAGATGTTGTGGCCATAAGATGAAGAACCCAATAAAAAAGAGGGAGTAGGGGAAGGACTGTCAGGAAGAAGGAAAAGTCAAGGATGACACTAACATTGGAAACCTGTTTACTGAAAGGATGGTGGTGCCTGGACAGAAACAGAAAATTTTGCAGGAAGGAGGAATTTGGGGGGGAACTATAATTAATTCTACCTTAAACGTTTTCAATTTAATTCATCAAACATTTATTAATGTCCTACTATGTGCCAGGTAGTACACTACGCCTCAGGGCAAAAAACAAAATGGTCATTGCCCTCAATGAATTTACATTCAATTGGGTGGGTGGAGAGGGGTTATCTGTCCAAAAATAATAAGGATAACAAACATTCATAGAGCACCTCAAGGTTTGCAAGGTACTTTACAAACATTCTTATTTGATCCTAGGAGGTGGGTGCTATTATTATCCTCTCTTTACAGATGAAGAAACTGAGGTACAGACAGGTTAAGTGACTTGCCTAGGGTCACACAGCTATTAAATGTCCAAGGCCAGATTCGACCTTAGGTTTTTTGGACTCCAGGCCTGACAATTGAGTGCCATTTAGCTGCCTACATAGAAAGGAGATAGAATGTCTTGTAAGGGGAACAGCAAACATTTCAGTTTGACTGCAATATAGAATGTTAAGAGCAGAGTACATGAAGGATAGCCGTGTACTATAAACCTGGAGAATTAGACTGAAGCTAGATTGTGAAGGGCTTTTAAGAACCAAACAGAAATTTTTGTAATTCAACCTAGAGATAAGAGGGAAGCTTTAGAGCTTCTTGATTATTCTTTGTTTACAGGACTTCCAAGTATCCCTAGACTGATTAGCTTTATGTCTTCTTCATCTTTAAATCTTGCACCTAGGAAAAATCTACTTAATATTTGTTTAATGACATATGCTGTCACCTTTACATAAAACCCCTCATCCAGATATCTAAGAAACACCATTTCATGGGATCCCAAAAGTATATGTGTGTGTTTATGTATATTTTGTTGCTGTCATTTTTCAGTCACATCCAACTCTCCATGACCCCATTTGGGGTTTTCTTGGAAAAGACACCAAAGTGATTTGCCATTTCCTTCTCCAGTTCATTTTACAGATGAGGAAACTTAGGCAAACAAAATTCAGTGACTTGCTCAGGGTCACACAGGTACTAAGTGTCTGAGGCCAGATTTGAATTCAGGAAGAGAAGTGTTCCTGACTTCTGGCTCAGCACTCTAGCTGCCCTATATTCATATATACACAATAGTTATGTGTTATATACACAGTAAAACCTATGGATAATGTTAATTTGTGGTTTTTAAAGTGCCTACACAAGCTATCCTTTAGAAAAGGGCATAGAAGAGAAAACTTAACTAGTTGTAAGACCTTGGGAAAGTTATTCGGTTCAAGTTACCTCATCTGTAAAATGAAAGCATTAGAATACCTTATCTTTAAATTTCCTTCTCCAGTCTGGTCTAAGTTTCTATTCTTTAGTTTCCCAAAACCAAAGGCATTCTGCTGATGCATAGCCTGTTGTAAGCTGTATAGTCTCACTTACTCTTTCTAAATGCCCACACTTCCTAATAGGCTCAAAGAGGCTCTTCCTAATTTAATACTGTATTCGGCTCAGGCTCAGATACACTCCCGTGCATGAAGCCTTTCCCAATTGCCCCTCCCCTCCTTTGTACTGAAATTTGTATATTTTTGTATTTATTCACTTTATATTTATGCTGCTTATATGTAGATACATATACATACATACGTATAAACAATCTCTACTAGAAATGAGCTTACATTCTTATGGAGGTGGGGGAGGAAGAGAAGTGCAAGTGTATATACATACACACATACACACACGTGTGCAAATATGTAATTTTTGGGAAATTATATATACACATATAATAGGAATTATATATGTATGTATACATGTTTATTCCCTACTTGCCGTTACCTTCTCATCAAGGTAGGGGAGGGAAATAAGTGCAGGAGTTTGTGTGTGTTTGTGTGTGTGTGTGTGTTCACGTACACGTGTATAAATTTTATATATAATACATATATACACAGGTGTATATATAAAATTTGGATTACATATGTGGATGTGTGTGTATAAAAATTCCTACTCGCAGCGAGTTTACGTTCTAATGGAGGTGGGGGAGGGAGACAAGGGCAGCTCTTGCTCGGACTCGGATGCCCAGCGCCGGGCATGTCGATTCTCCCCACTCGCCCCCAAGAACGACACCAAGCCGCCTGGTTCAGATCTCCGCAGAAGACAGAAAATCAGCCCGGACCAGTCCCCCGGCCCCGGCAGGGTCTCGAGCGCAGCTAGAGACCCCCACTGCGGACCCAAGCCCCAGCTGGGCCGCCTCCGCCCCCAGCCGCAGCACCCCGCCCTCCAGCGTGGCCACGCCGTCCCCGCCCTGACCCGGCTGCCGCTTCCGCCGCTTCTTCCTTCTACACGTGCTGTTCTGGGGCACATGCAACAGGCCACGCCGGGTAAGTGGGGGCCGGCGCCACAGGCTTCTCGGGCTTGTACGCCTTGGCCCAGCTTCTCGTGCCCAGCCTTTCGGAGCCCCTCGCCAGCCCCCAGCAGCAGCAGCTGGGGGAGAGGAGAGGCGCCTGCTTGCCTGCGTGAGCACCCCCAGCCTGGCCACATTGTTGGGGGGGCTTGACTGTAGAGTGTCCGTGATGACGCTCGGGCAGCGCTGACCATGGGGCTCCACTTTGATGATGGGGGGAGGGAGGGGTCTGTCTGTGGGGGAGTGTTGCCAAAGTACGACTTTTTAATAAATCTCACGCCAAGGGATTCTCTCGGAAAACAAGGGAGAGTGTATCGTGCATGGTGTGCATTTTGCCTGCCACCCCGAGAACTTGGAGTGAATGAGGGGAAAGTTTGGAAATCTGGCCGGCCACCGGGGGCGGAGGGGCGGTGCGCTTCCCGAAATAAATCAGCCAAGTCTTGCTGTCCCTGCTTATGTTGCAACCCTGCACGACTCTTGAGGCGTAGTCTGCTGGTTTTCAATTTGGGAAAGTGTTTGGGTTTGGGGAGATTGTATTTGTGTAGGACTAAGTACCCATTCTTTGGTCTCGCCTGAAGCAGCATTGAGGTGGTTCAGGCTTAAAGGGTTTCCCAGCCCTGAAAAGTGTTTTACACCCCATTAGATTGGAAATTCCTGGGGCTGGTGCCACTGGATGTGCGACTTGATGATAAATGCTGTTCTGTGTTAGCTTACGTTCACGCTTTAATAACAGTAGTTGATTTTTGAGCATTTTACCAAATGAAATTTTTCTTACTTATGACACATTGTTTTGAGGTAAAGGATCTTTTAGAACTAGAAGGGGTCTCAAAGGCCATTCAATCCAGTCTCCCCAGAGGGCAAATGAAGAAGTTGAGGCCCAGAAAAATTGCTTGCCTGAGGTCACTTAGTAAGTGACATAATTAGAATGTGAACCCAGGCCCTCTGACTCCTAAACCGGTGCATGCCCTGAAATGGGAGCACTGTGGTTGGGTGGGGTGGAAAGATTACCCAACCAGTGAATCTTGAGGAGACCTAGTTTGTGGGTCAAGCATGTCATTCTTCCTGTCGCTTTTGACAGCTGGCATGGATAGCCTAGGCCCTGATGAGCCAATTTGGAGTTTTCTTACCCTGTTAACTTGCAGGGCAGATTTTTTTCCCTCTTAAAATTATATTAAAAGCAACACACACAATAAAGTAGATACCACAAGTGGCTTACATATTTTGGATCCTGAAGTTTGAAACTTGAACCAATAAAGCCTGGGGAGCATGCTAGCTTTTTCAGTGAATTGCCAAAACCTGCCCATCCATGTTTGTAGCTTGTATCTTTTGTTTGTTAGACCGATGATTGACACAGGTTGCTTAGAGCACCACTTCTCATCAGTTTAGGACTTGTAAGAAAGATCCAAAAAAAAAAGATCTTTTTACAGCAGAGTAGAGGACCTGAGTAAATATATATCTCTAGCATTTGCTGGCAAAAGTATAGGCATACATACTAATTTTCTTTATAGGGTTTTTTGTACCCCAAAGTGGTTTAGTCTAACAATTTAACATTTGTATTTGCATTTTGGGCTTTTTAATTTTTTGATTGAATTGTTACCCTCTTCCTAATATTTTATATTTTTAAATAAATTCTAATGAAAACAGCTTTCAGAGTTCTGATTTCCTCTTTTTTTTTCTTAACACTATAACTACAGTGAGAGTGCTCTGTGTTTTTGTGGCATCTACAATCAAGATGAGAATTGTATCTAACACTATTGCCCAGTAGATTGTAGATTCCTAATTGAAGCCTCAGATGATTGCAACCGTGAGCAATTTGGAAGCAAATACTGATAGCAAACACACTTTCTCTCTCTCTCTTTCTCTCTCTCTCTCTCTCTCTCAAGTTTTTGTCATATGATTTTTTTGTTTGTTTTAATAGTGATGGACTGCAGAATTTTTCAAAGGTGGCTTCGTTTTGAGTTTGTTTTTTGAGACATTTTTAAGCACTTGATTTCTGGTAGTTATTGTACATGTTGCATTTTGAGAAAAAGAACATTTTAAATTTACCCTCTTCTTCGGGATAAAAGAAGTGTGGGTGTAAAAATTAACATTTATTTTTAGGAAACCTTTAGCTTTGGGCCCCAGAAGTTGGTTTGTGTGGAGGGAGTGGGGAGTACTTTTTAAAATTCTGAATTAGTTGGGAATAGCACTCCCATTCTTCTTCATTGACTCAACTGACATCTGTACCTTTTCCTTCATCACTAGTTCCTGGAGTACTTGGAGGGTGTTAAGGTAGACAGAGAGTAGCTAGATTGAAAGGGGCCAGGTTATGACGGTTTTTGAATGCCGAAGAGGATTTGATCCTGGTAATTGGGAGCTCCTCTGGAAAGTGAGGTAATTATAATTAGATGGCCCAGTGAGAAAAGGACCAAGGTTTGATCCCCTCGTGGAGTGATCTGCAATGCTTACCCTAACCAGTTGCCTTGCTAATGCATGCACTTAAACCAGGGACCAGGTGAGAATAGGATAAATGACTCTGTAAAATCATTTTTGCACTACTAGAAAAACAATGAAATGTGCACATTTTTCAGTTATCTTCACCTATTCTGCTCCCTTAAAGAAAGTTTAATATATAAGCCTGGATGATATTTACAGACAGCAGTATTATTGTGAAAAGTGTTGGTTTATTAAGAGGTTTATTGCCTTATTTTTAAGGATTACAGGGAAGTAGTTTAATAAGTCACACTGTCATCCATCCCAAGTCCCTTGTCTTTATCTTTTGCCTTCTTTGGGACAAAACAGTGAGGTGGAAAGCACATTAGATTTTGAGGCAGAAGGCCTTGGTCTGAATCCCAGTTCTTCCATGTAATGTGTAGTATGACTTTGGTCAAATCACTTTTCTTGACTTCAGTTTCCTCATCTGTAAAATGGGGGAAATAATAGGTGTTTTTCCCACTTTACAGAGTTCTTGTAAGGTAACCCCTTTGAAAACCTATAGACATATGAATATTATTATGCATTTCATCTATATATTGTAATGTGGGAATCGTAGCTGTGACAGGAATGTGTATTGTGATAACACTTAAAGGAGGACCTTAAGAGATTCTCCTTCAAGAGGCACACATCAGCTGTTGAGAGGAGTTAGTAGTAGTTGTACAGTTATTTTAAGAGCTTATGTGAGTGCCAGGGTAATGAGTCCCAACCACCTCTTTTCCATCCCTTGTCCCTCTGGCCTACATATCTCCGTACCTTTCCAGCTGCTTTGATACTGGCTACTTGACCTTTCCTGGAGAGACAGGACCAGGCTCCCCTTCTGGTTCCTCTCCAAATCTGACTCTCAAATTTCACACCTACTTGTTCCTGGACTTTTGAGCTCATGTCACCAGGCTCTAGTAGTATTTCTAAAATCTATCCTTCCTTCCCCTCTGCTGACACCCCCCCCCCCATTTGTTGAACCTTAACTGAAGGTTTATGCTTGTGCCAATCTCCTTCTGAAGAACTCTTCTTTGAGGGAAGAGGCAATTTCTAACTCAGTATTTGTAGTTCTTTGGTTCCATAGGGTTTACTCCAAGAGAGAATTCCTTAGTCTCAGAATGCCATTGGCTTAGTGTTTATGGGTCAGAAAATTTGAGTTACTCCGATTTAAATTAGTCTGGGGAATCTGGCCTTAGGTTTTGGACACCAAGGTAAAATTTCCTGGAGTTTACTGGAGCCAGTACTTAATGCTCAGTAGATTATGAGCTCCTTGAAGGTAGGGACTTTTTGCCTCCCTTTATATGCTCAGCGCTTAGCAGAGTACCTGGCACATAAGTGCCTGGTACTTATTAAATGTCTTTTAATTGATTGATACCCACGCCCATGTTTAGTGGATCTTTGTAGAAATTTACTCCCAACTTGCCCAATGCCCTTTCTCCCATGGGAAAAGGTTTTTTGTGCACATATGTTTTGCATTTTCTGTTTTTGTTTCCTACTTTCTGATTTCTCACTACAGTTTTCTAGGTGTGAGGAGGGGAATGAGAATTATAAGAACTCAGTTTGGCCTGAGACCAGGATGATTAGACCTCTTAGGAAGAAGGGTATTCCGCTTGGTTTATGGACTATTTGGCATTAGATTAAAATGGATTTTTTTTTTTAGGATATAGTTTTGTTTCCTAGGGTTGAGAGTACTGTGCTGTCCTGTTTAAAAACAAATTTGCTTGGCATGTAGTGTAAATGATTATGTATGAATTTTTGGGAGCTGGGAGGAGGGCAGGACAAGGATAGAGAAATAAAAAATGAAAGCTTTTCCTCATCTCCTTGAGAGCAGTAACTGTTTTGATGTTGTCTTTGTATCCCTAAGATCTAGATTAAATACTTCATAAATGACACTTTGTTGAATTGAATATTGGTTGATTCGTGGCTTGGCTTTTTATTCCTGAAACAGGACCATGGCTAGGAATGGGACAAATGCAGATGTGGCCATGGAAGAAGGGCCCAGTCCTTGTAAGCGAGTGAAAGTGGAAACAGTTGATCCTGCTTCACCTTTGAACTTTGACAGCCCTGATGCTCTCTTTGAGAGCTTGATCTCGCCCATCAAGACAGAGACTTTTTTCAAGGAATACTGGGAGCAAAAGCCCCTTCTAATTCAGAGAGATGATCCTTCACTGGCTGCTTACTTTCAATCCCTTTTCCAGTTAACAGATTTGAAGAATCTGTGCAGACTGGGGATGTACTATGGAAGAGATATAAATGTGTGCCGATGTGTGAATGGGCAGAAGAAGGTGTTAAATAAGGGCAGCAAAGTACACTACCTCCAACTGAGAAAAGATTTTGATCAGAAAAGGGCAACCATCCAGTTCCACCAGCCTCAGAGATTTAAGGTAAAGTAACATCTGAGCCTCTCATTGCAGAACATATTGCTTCCATCATTCAAGGCTGAATGTGTGGCCTATATGTTTTACTAACTCCACTTGGAATAATTCTTGAATTATAAGGTTAGATTCAAGAATTCATCCAATCTCCTCTTCTCTTGCTGTGCATATCCCAATCTGAGAAAAGCTAGTGACCTTTTGTAAAATATAACCTGGTAAGCTTTCCCATGGATAGAGAGATTGAAATCCATAGGTCAGTAGATGAACATTAACAAGTGCTTCCTCTGTGCTGATCCCTGAGGATAGAAATACAAGCAAGCAAGACAGTTTTGGCCATAGGGACCTTACTTTCTAATGGGGGAAGAAAAACATGAAGGAATGCTGGGGGTGGGAAGTGTCTGGAAAGGGAGAAGGTGTTTTCACAGGGCATGGTGAAGAACCTGCAGGGGAGTGCCATGGAGACCTTGGCTCTGGCAAATCAAATCGAGGAGGAGACTCAGATGTGTAGTCCAAGCTTCTAGTCAGGAGGATGTGGAGGTGGTGGCCTGGGGGCCCTTGCCCCTTTTGGTGACATTGTCCCAGTTTCCTGGAACTCTGGTTTCAGATATCTGCTGTGATCACTCTACTAAGCCACCAGAAGATTCTGGTGAATCTGGCCCTGATAAATGAACCTTATCTAGCCAAGGCCTCCATTACCCTACCTTGCAGTCTTTTCACTATGCCCCTGTGAGAATACTTTCTGCCTTTCCAGATGACCCTGGGCCTTTGCATTCCTTTATGTTTTACTTTCCTCACTGGAATGTGAGGTGTTTGAGGCCAGTGGTTGTCTTGCTTATAATTTCTATCTTCAGGGCTTAGTATAGTACCTGGCACATATGAAGCACTTAATAAATGCTCATCTGTTGTTCTATCTATCTGTCCGTCTATCCATCAGTCTCCTTACTGGAAAATTTACCCGTGAATCTGGTGGCTTATTAGGAAGTCACCGAATTTTCTTTTTGAAGTTGAAATCACTCCCAATTGGAGCTCATGTACAGGTAAGTATAAGCAGTGTTTGGGCTAGGCTAACAGCAATATGTATTACAACATTTTGTTGTTGTTTAATTGTGTTGGACTCTGACCCCATTTGGGGTTTTCTTGGCAAAGATACTGGAGTGGTTTGTCATTTTCTTCTCTAGCTCATTTTAGAAATGAGGAACTGAGGCAAACAGAGTTAAGTGACTGGTCCAAGGTCACACAGCTAGTAAGTGTCTAAGGCCATATTTGAAATCAGGTCTTCCTAATTCCAGGGAGGGTGTTCTATCCACTGCACTATCTAGTTGCCCTATATTACAATATAAATAATGTTAATTTGTGGTTTTCTGAGTTATGCAGCTGTAGGGATCCATTTCTATTTGAGTTTGACATGACATTTTTTTAAACAACTAATGGTTTACTAGTGGTTTAAACAATGATTTAAACAACTAACCCTCTACTCATATAGACAGAGTCTTGTCCAAAACTTAGTCTTAGAGAGTTTCTTGCAGCACTGAAGTTGTAAATGACTTGCTTGTGGTCAAGCAGCTAGTATATATGTATCAGAGAAGGGACTCTGATACAAGTCTTTTTGACTGGGAAGGGCAGCTCTCTATCCATTATACCACACTGCTTCTTAGTACAAAATAAACTATATTATTTTAGAAGTTCTTGGGGATTAATTTTCATAGAAGAGTTACAGTCTCAGCAAGAACCATACATGATTCCATTCCCACTGGTCATTATCTAACATCTTTATTATTTATCTCTTCCTCCCAACCTTCTTTTTAAGTGTTCCCTTTACACTGGAACATTATCAAATGCTTCCTTTGTACTAAGCTCACTTATAAGTCACATACAAGCTCACTTACAAGCAATTTTTGCTTTATCCTTTCCATAAGAATTATCTCTTTTCATTTCTCTCATTTGTATATTCTATCCATTCTAAACAATCTTTTTATCTCTTTTTTGTTGATAATATAGCTAAAAAATTAAAATTGTGTTGAATTTAATATTCATCACCAGCCTCAGCTCATTCAGAGATTTAGTGCTAATAAAAATATTCCTATAGTCTTGTGTTATTCTTGTGTATTCATTTTTAATTACCTTGATTCTATGTCCCATATGTGTTTGGATGCCCTCTCCTCCAATTTAACAAAATTAGTTTATTTAATTGGGCAGGTAGGTGGGAAAGTCAATAGAGTGCCAGGCGTAGAGTCAGGAAGATCTAAGTTAAAATCTGGCCTCGGACATTTACTATAAATGTGTGACCTTGGAGCAGTCACTTAACCATGTTTGCTTCAGTTTTCTCATCTGTAAAATGAGCTGGAGAAGGAAATGGCAAATTATTCTAGTATCTTAGCCATGAAAACCCTAAATCAGATCACAAAGAGTCTTACACAACTGAACAACAACAAGGTATATTTAAACTTTTTTTCTAGAAACAGATCTTTCCCCTCAAATGTTTCTCTCTTTCTAGCTTTCTTATTACTGTCAAAGGCACCAGTTTCATCCAGGTTCTCAATCTGGGTGCCATCCTTGACTTCTTACTTTCACCTGTGCCTCATGTCCAGTCTGTTGCCAAGTCCTATCAGTTGTATCTTCATAACATCTCCAGTATTAGTCCCTTTTTCTCTTGTAATGCTGCCGTTGGCCTGGTGCACATCTACACCACCTCCTGCCTAGATGATTGCAGGAGTCTTCTGATTGGACTCCTAGCCTCAGTTCTCTCCCCACTCCATTCCATTCTCCACTCAGCTGTCAAGGTGATCTTCCTAAAGTACATATATAACCTTGCCACTCCCTGTGCCATTCAGTAAACTCCAGTTGGTCCCTTCACATCCAGGATGGAATAGAAAATCCTCTCTTTGGCTTTTAAAGCTCTTTATAACGTAGCCCCTTTTCCAGTCTTCTTGCATCTTACTCCTTCTCCTCCAAGTACTTGTTGACCCAGTGACAGTGGCCTGTTTGCTGTTCCTTGGCCCAGGATGCTCTATTTCTTGATTCTCTGCATTTTCATTGAGTGTCTCCCATGCCTCGATTCTCTCCCTCCTCATTTCCATCTTCTGATTTCCTTGTGTTGCTTCAAGTCCCAATTAAAACTTTATCTTCTGCAAGAAGCCTTTTCCAATCTCCCTTTGTGTTAGTGCCTTCCCTCTTGGGATTACCTCCAATTTATCTGGTCAGTGTTTTGTTTGTACACAGTTGTTGGCATGTTGTCTTCACTAATAAACTGTGAGCTCCTTAAGAGCTGGGACTGTCGGGGATGGAGCCAAGATGGGAGAGTGAAGACAGGAACTCACCTGAGCTCTCTCCCAAACCCCTTCAAATACCTTTAAAAAGTGACTCTGAACAAATTCTAGAGCGGCAGAACCCACAGAAAGGGTGAAACAAATTTCTAGCCCATGACAACTAGGAAGGTCAACAGGAAAAGATTGTTGCACAAGTCAGAGAGGAGTGCAGTCCAGTGTAGGTCATGCTGGTGCAGACCGAGCCCTAGCAAACCCTGAGCAGGCCTCTGGGGATTGAATTGCTGGCAACAGTGGTGCTTTCCAGACTTCTCAGCCCACAGACACCAAAGACAACTTAGAAGGTAAGTAGGAGGGGCCCGTAGGACCTAGGTGAGAGAAAAACGCAGTCCAGTGCAGACCATGCCAGTACAACCCTGGCCCCAGCAAACCAGGAGCAGGCCTTGGGAGTGATTGAATCTGCTGTTTTTCATATGGTTGTTAATAATCTGTATGTCTTTTTTTTTTTTTTTGGTGAGGCAAGGGGGTTAAGTGATTTGCCCAGGGTCACACAGCTAGTAAGTGTCAAGTGTCTGAGGCCGGATTTGAACTCAGGTCCTCCTGACTCCAGGGCTGGTGCTGGTATCCACTGTGCCACCTAGCTGTCCCCCTCTGTATATCTGTGTATTGTAACTATAGCTCTGTATAACTGGTTTTTTTTTTTCTTCATATGCTTTGACCACTTAGCTTTTGTGGGAAATGTTTATTTTTCTTTTTAATGAATGAGTTATCTTTGGCACAGTGGAAAGAGAAATTGGATTTGGAGTTAGAAGTCCTTCTTGGGTATGAAAGAGGGTTTGGCTCCTTATCATGCATGGTGTAGGCAAGGAATTTAAATTCTCTGGACCTCAGTTGCGTTTGTGTAAAATGAAGATGTTTGGACCAATACTTTTCCCAGGAACGTGACTACTGTTTTATTTTTGGGGGGAGTGGGGAGCAAGGGGAGGCAATCAGGGTTAAGTTACTTGCCCAGGGTCAAGTAAGTATCTGAAGCTGGATTTGAACTCTGGTCTTCCTGACTCCAGGGCTGGTGCTCTATTCATTGCCCCATGACTATTGTTTTATAATCAAATCCTTGTGTAACACTCTAACATAAAGCCTCTGATTGTTTCTTTAAAACAATCTCATTAGATTCTCTCTTCTTTTTTTGGTAATTATTTGTGTTTGGATCATCTGAGAGGCTGCGTGGTACTGGATTTGACATCAGAGGTCCAGGGTTCAAATCCTGGCTCTGTTGCTTGCTCCCCTGTTATGACCTTTGTTCTATTATATAACTCATCTGAAGGAGCCATAGTTTCCCTGTGTACAAAATGAAGACGTTGGATTAGTTGGCCTCCAAGGTACCTTCCAAATTCTAAATCTAAGATCTCATGACAGTACATGAGAGATAAGGCATTGTTATTAGAGAGAAGGCCTGAACTGCTGACAGTTTTTCTCTTGTGTGAGGGAGCCTGAGTTTATTTGCCTGCAGGGGATGATAGAAAGTTTATTTTCTTTTTTCAGGTCTCTTGCTTGCTCTAACTAGAGCTGGGCAGGAAAGGCATTTTGATATCACTTTTCCAGAAATAAAAGAAGATAAATTACAACAGTGAAGTTATTTAATATTTTATCATCAAGAGATCAACAGAAAGTTAGGAAAGTGCATGTTTTCTGTGGGTGTCTTTTCTGCACCCCCAAATATCCTTTGGTTTTTGGAATGCCCCTTTGCTCATTCTTACAACAGATCTAACAAATTCTGGAAAGCAGCCTGCAATTGCCTTCAGAAAGCGACTCGGCACCTTCCCAGACCCCTTCCACCACCTCACTTCACACACACCAATCTTGCACGTACCATCTTCCTGACTCGAAGGTGGCCATGACCTTAGTTCTGCTACTTAGCCTTTTGGCTGGGTTTATTGGAACAGGAAGAGTTTGGTTCTCAACCTACAATACCCCTTCCTGGTCTTATTGGCCAGTACAGTTTCTCCCCTCCACTTTTCCTGCTGTTTCTCCCCCACCCCTCAACTCTACTAACATCATTGTTTTCTTTGCATCTCTAGCACTTAAAACAGAGCTTGGCACCTAGTAAGTGCTTAAGGGATATTTCCTGACTTGACTTGAGCACTACAGGAAGTAGGAGATGGGGTGTGTTGTTTCATTCTGTAGTCATAATGGTGCTTGGGTCTTACAAAGGTTTGATTCCAATTTATTTATTTCGTTCCTGTGAAAAGGCACTGATCATATTGTTGCTGGGAGGGGTCTGGCAAGATACAGGAGCCCTGGCTTTTCAGCAGATTATAAACCTGATATTTCAAATTCTAAGTTAACCTTTAATAGCTTAAAACTACATTAGGAATTCTTGGGCATCCTTTATGTGACTTCTGGTCTTCAGCAGAATTTTTGCTTTAAACTCTATGACTTTCATGGAACCAATAGTACTTGAAATTGGAAGAGAAAATAGAATAAAGCTAAATTAGCCTCTCTTCTGTTCTCATTGTCTCAGGAGTTACTGTTGAACATGCATATGTGAAAAGGCAGTTATTGATATTCTTGGACACAAAAAGAGAGAGGAGGAAAGATTCATCTCAGCCGGTTTTTGGAAAAAGGCAAGTTCAAGAAAACAAGGCTTAGCAAAAAGGGGGAAAAAGGTATGCAGCAGTCAAGAAGGAGTGGTTCTAGGTTAATGGAATGCTCATTCATTCAGTAAGCAAGGTGAAGGGTGATGGGAAATTTTAAGAAGGAAAGATGAAAGCACTTATTTTGTAGACTAAGTTGCCCAAGTCAGAGATCACTGGTTGAGAAAAAGACCAGATGGCAGAAAATCATAGGCTAGCATTGAGATATTCTGAGAGGAGGATCATCAACTCCCTTGTTTATCCCCATTTCAGGACATAGAGAGCTATTCCAGTTGACCTGGAAATACCTGTGTGAAGAGCTAAACGTTATACACAGTCATTAAAGAATCTCTGAGGCTTTGAGGCAGCATGATATACTGGAGGGAAAGCTGATCTCGCGTCAGGAAGATTGCAGGGTCCTGCCTGTTTTCCCCAGTAAGTCACTTAACACGTTGGGGCCCCACCCAAGCCACTCTGCAAGTGTAACTTGCAGGGCAGATGCTGGACTTCATTATTAGAGAGAGTTCTTTCCCAGTTGCTTCCTGTTATAGCAGTGAAGTCACAGGTCTGGTCTAAGAAGAACATCTCTCAGGGAGCCTCCAGAAAGATAAGTACTCAACTACTTTTCAGGCATCTAGGTATAGTGGCTAGAGCAACAGGCCTGGGGTCAGGAAGAGCTGATTTCAAATCTGGCCTCAGCCACTTTCTAACAGTGTGACCCTGGGCAAGTCACTTAACCCTGTTTGCCTCAGTTTCCTCATCTGTAAAATGAACTGGAGAATGAAATGGCAAACCACTCCAGCCATCTTTGGGAAGAAAACCTCCTCCCTGGGTATAAATTAGGCTGTTTGGGAGCTATTCCCAAAGATTAGCTTTTCACTTTCTGGGTAGCTTTGATTAACACAACAATTTTCCTTATATCAAGCCTGAATTTGTCTCTTTGCAACTGTAAATCATTGCTCCTAATTCTGCCATCTTAGAGTGAGAAGAGCCAATTCAATGTTCAATCCCTTCTGTTACTTCTTTGGAGCCATAGAGATGCCTAGAGGTTTATAAAAGTAGCCTAGAGGCCTAAATAAGACATTTCTCAAAATGATCTGATTTTCCTCTTTTTAAATAATAGTAGAAGTAGTAGAAGTAGTTGCAACAGCAGCAGTAGCAGCAGCAACTAGAATTTTTATGGTGCTTTAAAGTGCTTTCCACGTGGATCTCAGTTGGTTCTGACAACAACATTATGATGTGGATCTTGTTATTTATTATCTTCAATTTAAAGATGAGGAAATTGAAGCTGAGAGAGATTATGTAATTTGCCCAGAGTCACATAGCTAGTAATTTGGACTCAGGTCTTCCTGACTTCAAAGGCCACCATATTACTTAGCTTTTTTATTTTTTAGTTTCCCTCTGATGCTAATGGAAAGAACATAGGTTCTGGAGTCAGAAGACTGAAGATCAAATCCCATCTCTGACATTTTCTACCTCTTTGACCTGGGCACCAGGCACATAATTGTTACTTAATATTTATTGACTAATTCATTTTCTCTCCCTTTTTCTTTTTAGTCTAACCTTGCTTCTTAAGCTTATCCTATGGCACTTAGGTCTTACCTAATTCATATGATTTGGGGGATGGGAAGGGAAGAATTTGGCTATGGAATTGTCTTTATTTCTTTCTCTTTTCTTTTTTTTTTTCTTAAAAGGATGAGCTGTGGAAAATCCAGGAGAAGCTAGAATGTTTTTTTGGATCTCTGGTTGGATCTAATGTGTATATAACGCCCTCAGAGTCCCAGGGCTTGCCCCCTCATTATGATGATATTGAGGTAAGAGCTATTTCAATACTACTAATTCCTTTAAAAATGAAAAGGGATCTATATCTACTATATCTACATAACTGTTTATCTATCTATCTATATCTAGATATCTACAACTATATCCCTAGAACTATGTTTATATCTGTCTGTAGAGCTATAACTATAATTATATTTGTGTATAAATATAATCTACCTACCTCTGTATATGCATGTAGGTATTTATGTACATGTCCCACAGTAGATTTGAAAATATTTCCTGGTTTGTAATATTATTCTTGACAATGTATTGTTTTCTTAGTCCAGACCTATGATTATCTTGGCTTAGAGAAGGTAGCAAGGTACTCTTTAGTCTCATATAACCAACACACAGACAGACAGACAGACACACACACACACACACACACCCACACACCCACCCACCCACCCCTAGAAACAGCCTGCCCAAGACTCTATTCTGGTTGTTCATGTAGCTCCAGGGACCTGCAAAGCTATATATATGTACTAGATTGCAGATACCTTGGGAAGAAAGATTATGGTTTCTTCCTCTTTATATATTCCAGAGCCTTGTATACAGTAGTCACTCAAATATTTATTGAAATGATTTGGGTTTGTTTTTTTTCTTGGTGATGCAGTTGGGGTTAAGTGACTTGCCCAGAGTCACACAGCTAGTGAGTGTTATGCCTCTGAGGGCGGATTTGAACTCAGGTCCTCCTGACTCCAAGGCCAGTGTTCTATCCACTACACCACCTAGCTGCCCCTGGGTTGTTTTTTTTAAGATCATTTCCAAATAAAAATAACAGCATTAGAGGTAACTAATTGCTGCCATCTTTCCCTTTGAGTTTAGCAATTAAGAGATTATTGGTAACTTTGAAGACAGCAGTTTTGATTGAATGATAAGTTCAGAAGGTAGACTGTGGAGAGTTAAGAGAGGCAGAGGGGAGAAGTAGAGGCATTTATCATAGGCAGACTTAAGAAATTTGGCAACAAAAAGCAGGAGAAATGTGGGATGATAGCAGGGATGGATGTTCAAGTGCAGGTTTTTTGAGGATGGGGGAAGACATGAGTGTGTTTGTAGGAAGTAGTGAGGCAGCCAGTAGACACTGAGAGAATGAAGATGGGATGATAGGCAGGAGGGAAGCAGCCACTTGACAGGGAGAGATTGAAGGTAAGTGAGAGAATGGGGACAGCAGAGGGGGCAATCTGCTGGAGGAAACAGAACAGAATAGGAACATTTGTGGGTGTAGAAGGGTCTGCTTTGGCAAGGAGAAGTGCCACCTTATTATATGAGATGGGGATGCAGACAGTGGCTGAAGGTTTCTAGGTGATGTGAGATCATAGAGATCTGGGCAGTTTTCTTTAAAGACTTCTTGAAATATGATGTCTAGGCTTTTTTGGGGGGTCTTTTGAGCTGCTTTGAAAAAGTAAAGAACATTTTTCTGTTGTTTGATATGTCTTTACAAGTTATATAATTATTTTTACCAGTGAAAGTTCATGTGTCAGCAATGATGCAGACATAATTTAGAGCTAGAGTTCTTAAGCTGGAATCCAAGGTGTTGGGACCATACGTAGATTTTAGGTGGTCTGTGAACTTGGATGGTGAAAAGAAAATTACATCTTTGTTTTCACTAACCTTTAATTTTCTTTATAATCCCATTTATTTTATGGATTTAAAAATATTATTCTGAAAAGGGGCCCATAGTTTTCACCGACTGTAAAAGGATCCATAACATGAACCTGGTTGAGCATCTTTTCCTGGGATTAGAATTGGGATGGAGGTAGGAGAGGGGCAGAGTGGCATCTCTTTATGTGGAGAGAAAGAAACTTTTTTTTTTCTGAAATGTCAACTTTTCATTTATCCAGGATCTTTTGAAGGCTAAGGGATTTAGGGAATCAGGAAATTCTCTAACACTTTTGGAATTTGTGCCTCTTTACAGGTGTTTATTTTGCAACTGGAAGGAAAGAAACACTGGCGCCTATACCAACCCACTGTGCCCCTTGCTCGAGACTACAATGTGGAGTCAGAGGACAGGATTGGAGCACCAACACATGAGTTCACATTAAAGGTACTTGACTTAAGAGTGGTGTTACTCTACTTTTTGCTAGCTTGTAATATGTTGTTCGGTGATTTCAGTCATATCTGACTCTCCTGACCTCATTTTGGGGTTTTTGGGCAACAATACTGAAATGGTTTGCCATTTCCTTTTCCAACTCATTTTACAGATGAGGAAACTGAGGCAAACAGGAGCAAATGACTTGCCCAGGGTCACACAGCTAGTAAGTGTCTAGGCCAGATTGAACTCAGGATGATGAGTCTTCCTGCCTCCAGGCCCAGCACTTTACTTACTGCGCTCCTTTGTTGCCCTGTGTGTATCATAGTTGTTGTATACTTAAGTGCAAGTTCAAGATGAAAGTCAGCACCTGACCCCCTGGTGCAGGCTGCCTTTACTCCATTCTGTGAAAAACTTGACCTTTTAGTCTTTGCCATCCAGCATAAGGGCAAGTCACTTAACCATCAAGTCACTTAACCCTGTTTGCCTCAGTTTCTTCATCTGTAAAATGAGCTGGAGAAGGAAATGGCAAACCAATGCAGTATCTTTGCCAAGAAAATCCATAATGAGGTCACAAAGAGTGACAGATTGATTGTTCTACCCTGTCGCCTATTGAACAGACATTCCTACAGGGCAGCATGGTTTTGTGCACTTGGCAGTGGTGTATTCTTATTACTGTTAACTTGATTTTCTGAAAAGATTCATTTCCACATTTAACCTGAGCTTTATGGCCTCCTGGCTTCATTGTGGCTTTAACACTTATGCAACAGACTCACAGAGACTCTTAACTTTAAAAATAAATGTGCCCTTAGAGGTGGTGACACACACATCTTGATTTCTGACTGCCCTGGTACAGTGTGAATGGGTTTAATTTTTCCCTTTGGGGAACTAGTAAATACATGTTCAGGTAAAACCCTTTTAGGGAGCATCTGGACATGTTCTCCTGAAATGTTAGCCTAGCCCTGTGTTCCCTCTGAGGTTGCAGAGAGTACATGCTCCCATGGTGTCTCCATTAGAAGAATAATTTTTATTTGGAAAACACTTGTGAATTCCCTTGATGGTGGGTCTATAGTGAGGTATTGTTACTCTGTGCATTGCACTGGATAAACATTCCCTGGCAAAGGGTAGCCAGCATGTTCCTAGTCTATTTTAAAACTCAGTATCTGAATATTATTTGTAAGCTAGGGCTTATGACAGGAAATCTAAAGAGAGCAATCTTGGTGAGGGAATGCATAACCCTCATTTCTTATGCTGTTAGGTGTTAGAGTGGATAGAATGCTGGACTTGGGAGTCAGGAGGACCTGAATTCAAATCATGTTTCAGAATCTTACTAGTTATGTGACCTGGGGCAACCTCAGTTTCTTCAATATGGGGATAACAATAGCACCTGTCTCCCAGGGTTCGTGTGAAGATCAAGTGCAATAATATATGTAGAGCACTTTCTAAACTTAATAGCACTGTATAAAGGATAGCTAGTATTATTATCATTATTACATTTACTACTATGATTACTTATTAAAGGGATCCGTTAGTCTCATAACAGAAAGGTAATGTTTAAGTTGAACCTCTGCAGTGATTCTCTATGATTAACAAAACACATTGTCTAGATTGTGCACTTCATTATTTTTATTGTTAATAACAGTAATGATAATAGTTTGTATCTCCTCTCCAGATTTAAAATTTTTCTTGCTCTCAGTTAATTGGAAAAGACTTATTTTTTCAGAATGGACTGACCTCCATCTCTTAATGTCCTTTTTAAAACACAGGTGCCTGCCATTTTATGGTGTTGGTTGAGCACATTCAGGTGGTTGTTTCTAAGCTACTATGGCAAAATTATCAAGTATCCCTTAGGCATAAAATCCTGTTACTGAAAGCCAGTTTTCAGTTGTTGGCTTTGTGGGGTGCACCTGTGTTACTTTCCATTCCCTTGATTTCTAACCCCTGATTTCATTGATGATACAGGGTTGGGGAAAGATAGGGCAGGCATATATTAAACATATCTTCTAGTCACCACACTTGTCTTCAAAGGACGTGCTTAACAAAGTTCTGTGGAGCACAGGGGTTTTACAGAACACAGTTTGAAAATCCCTGACCTAAGGCATTCATTTTCTTGAAGTAATAAGATGCCAGCTGTCTCCATATCTCCATATCCACCCCTGGGCTGAATAAGACTCACTGCTAATTTAGAAACAAGCAGTGTAAATATTTCATATTAATGTACACTTTCATGGGAGTAATTTCCTGCTTAAGGAAACTAAATAAATCTAATAATTAATGAATTAATGGACAGCTAGGTGGCTCAGTGGATAGAGTGCCAGGCCTGTAGTAGGAAAGACCTGAGGTCAAATTTGACCTCAGACACTTGCTAACTGTGTGACCTTGGGCAAGTCACTTAACCCTGTTTGCCTCAGTTTCCTCATCTGTAAAATGAGCTGGAGAAGGAAATGGAAAACCACTCTGGTATCTTTGCCAGGAAAACCACAAAAAGGGTCACAAAGAGTTGGACTCAACTGAAAACAACTAGATGACAATAAAATAAATTAATAAAATCTTAATAAAGGAAAAGGAATGTAAACATCATTAAAAAGTTTCCCTTTTTCTGCAGTTTGCTCTATAAAATGTTTTGGTCACCACAGGAATTTGGGGGAAAATATATTTCAGAACCACCAGGATCCATGGGGAGAGAGAGATGAAGAATAGGCAGGGCCCAGAACCACAGGAATGGAGTTGATGGCTCATATAGAGCCTGTGTTTCAGGTTTAGACATGTAGGGTATTTCTCTTTACAGTGTTCTCATTTAGGTGGAAAGCAAGGCCAGGCAAAATATGTGAAGACTCTGCTTATTAAACAGGAGAGTGAACATGTCAGAGTCATAGAAAGGAGTTCAGGAGTCATTTAATCCATCATGTACCTCAAAGCCCCTCTATGATATCTCTCTGAAGCAGTTATCTAGTCTCTGCTTGATGACTCCAGAGAGGAGAAGCCCATTTCTTCCAAAGCAGCCCATTCTACTCTTGATGAGCTTTCATTGTTTGGAAGTTTTTCCTTATATCAGGCCAAACAAAATCTCTATTAGCAATTTCCACCCAATTTTTTCCTATTTCTGCCCTCTGTGACCAAAAAGAACAATGCCAATCCCTAGATACTCGAAGACATCTGAAGCTTTAAGCTAACATTCCCAGATATGATATGGTTTCTTAGTACTTTGGAATATTGGCTGCCATTCTTTTGGTAGTCTTCTAGCTTATCAGTGTTCTTCCTAAAATAAAGTGTATGTGCAGAACTGACCATGTTACTTCAGACTTGGTCTGATCAGACAGACTAAAGCCAGAACTATCATCTCCCTTCTTCTAGACCTTTTTTGTGTCTTGGATGCCTCTGGCAGCCTGCTAAAGCCTGTGGACTATTTTTCAGAATAATGTTTTTAAATCCATAAAATGAAATACATAGAATTACAAAGGAAAACAAAGAAATATTTTTTTTCTCGTCCAAGTTCACAGACCCCTTGAAATCTATCAATGGTTAAGAACCCCTATTCTAGAAGCTGTCTCTTAATTACGCCTAAGATCACATTAGCTCTTTTGACTGCTGTGTCACAATGATGACTCATGGAATTTTGAATCCACTAGATTCCTCAGATTTTTTTTGCATGAGCTGCCATTTAGCCAAACCTCCCCCATCCTGACCTAGTGATTTTTTTGAACCTAGGTACTTCTGCTTCCCCCAGGAATTAGAGTATACAAGTTGATTACTGGTGAATGAGAACTTGGAAGTGAAATAACCTGAATAGGATGATTTGGGGACACCACTGCCAATAAAGCTTTATCAGCATCCAGATTGCCCTGTGGGTCATCACACAATAGTTTAATGGTACCTAGGAGCTGAAACTCGAGGCCTTTGTAGAAATGGGAGTGGGGTTGGGGAGAAAGAGTTGACATTTAATTATAATACTCTTTTTTTCCCCCTACCCCCATATTTTAGCCAGGGGATTTGTTATATTTCCCCCGAGGGACCATCCATCAAGCTGACACTCCTCCTGGACTAGCCCATTCTACACATGTGACCATCAGCACCTACCAGAACAAGTAAATATCCTTCTACTCTTCTCACTGCCTCCCACTTTGAAGGACTCATTGACATGGCCACTGGTCACCTCCAAGAAAAAGGGTAACGGGGTAACAAGAGGCTAGTATCTCACATAGGGTGTCAAGGCCCTTCAGTAGGATACTGGTTGCTAACTCTCATGTCCTGGATAAATTCTTTGTCTTTAGGTGTGGTTTTTCCATCTAAAATAATGGTAGCTCAGACAATAAGAGGGAGTAACTAGACTTTGTCACAGAAGTGTTTTTAAACTGAATGTGTGAAGAATGATTGTAAGAGGCAGGCTTGAGTGGATAAATGCCAAAGTTTGCATTCTTTGTTAATAAAAAGAAATATGTCCCTGCACCAATTAGTGAGGTCATTTATGTATCTGCTCTTCTTCCTTCAAGGCTTTTATTTCTCATATTTGTAGGGAAAGCTAGAAAGCAGTCATGAACATTATTACCTGTGCTAGATTTCCTTTGTAACCGCATATTTTGTTTTATGCATTCAAAAAAAAAATTCTAAGAAGGGTCCATAGGTTGCACCAGACTGCTCTGTTGTGTGTATGTGTGTGTGTGTGTGTGTGTTATGTATGTGTGTTGGGGGTGGAGGTGGAGGGAATGAAGTTAAGAAAGTTATCTTGTAAATCTAGTTAGCTAATGTCATTTGCTCCTGGTTCTTCAGTCAAAACCCTTTTAGGTCAGAAGTAAAAGAAACAGATTTAAAGGTCTCCCCCCCTCCCACTCCCCACCTCACTATCCCTAACTAACAAATGAAGCCTTCTGTTAGTCTGCATTGTTATGCTTTCCAAATGTGTGAAATATTGTTATTTTAAAGTCTAGTTGTGTGGACACATTGAGGCTTGGACTGATTCTGGTTCTCATTTTGCCTGTCCTGTATTCATTCTTAAAGTGGCAGATGGGTATGAAGCCTATGGATTTTGGAGTGTTCCTTCTCATCTTCTGGAGTGTCCCATAAAGCACAATAAATTTTCATACCCGTGGTGTGGTGTGTGTATTAATTCCATCCTCTTCAGAGTAAATTTCAGAATTTGTGTCAGTCACAGACTCTGGAAAGGTATTTTGATCACTCTTACTTCCCAGAACCAGTGTCAGTCAATAAATATATGTTAATCTTCTACTCTATGCCAGACACAGTGCCATACTCTGCCAAAAAGGCTATTAAATGCCTTGCTTTCTGATCTGTTGCTGGTAAGTCCTGGAGAGGCAAAAAATATTTTGTGTAGCTAAAAAGATCTGAACCTGTTTTGGATGTTGAAAAATACAGTAAGAAATGTGGAGGTGGATGTAAAGTGAAGCTGCTCAGAGAAGGCAGTAAGAGTGTGTGGATATTTTGGGGGAAGATGAAGAAAAGAGATGGTGTGTGACCCTGGCAAGTCACTTAATCTCTCAGGGTTTGAGGCAGCTCTCTAAGATGAAATGTTGTAAAGAGCCTACCACATTATATTGAAAGAGGGAGCTCCCTTAATGTGGAAGTTCCCTGTATCAGTAAAACCAATCAGTCAGTCTATGCGCGAGGTACTGTGCTAAGCATTGGGGATACAAGAAAGACTCAAATGCAAGTCCCTGCCCTCATCCTTTGGTTGACTATCCAATAGTCCCGATTCCTATTCCTGAGAAAACTTTTTTTTTTTAAATCTTCTTTTATGGGCTTTTCTGGGAGTGAAACACAAATTTTAATTTTGCTTGGCTGAGGGAAAATCATGCTGTAAATTTCTTATGTTGGTTAAGTAGTAAGCAGTCAAGTCTGCTAGTGACACAGGAAAATTTTTAAAGAAAAATGATGCACTAAGGAGTAATAGTAATAATAATGGTTATATCTAACATTTAAGCAACACTTTTTTACCAAGTACTTCACATATACTATCTTATTTGATCCTCATTACAACTGCAGCAATAGGTAAGTACTATTATTATTAGTATTCTCATTGGCAGCTAGATGCTCAGTGGATAGAACACTGGGACTGGAGTCAAGAGGACCTGAGTTCAAATCCAGCCTCAGACACTAGCTGTGTAAAATGGCAAACTATTCCAATATCCTTACCAAGAAAACCCCATAGACCATATTGGCATGAAGAGTCAGATACCGACTGAAAGACTAAACAACATTATTCCTGTTTTACAGAGAAGGAAATTGAATCTGAGTAAGGTTACTTGCCCAGAGTCACAGAGCTAGTATATAAGGCTAGATTTGAACTTGGGTCTTCTGACTAGTCTCCTGTCAAGCTTTCTTGCTACCAGAGTGCTGTTTCTTAATCTGACTACAAAGTTATTCTGAATTCCCCATGCTAATTAGGGGTAAAGGAGAGCATGGGTAATTGAAACCTATAGATAACCCAGCTTATTCAGACTAGTAGCTTTTACCTTTTCCCCCCAACAGATTCTTAAACATAAAACATGCTCATTTGAGTTTTGCTTCCTTTTCAAGCTCTAGACCAAACCTTAGGGGACTGTGCCCCTTGTCTCTGAATTATCCCAAAGAGGGAAACTAGACAGAGGAACAGGAGAAAAAAGGACTGGAATTCTATTGCTGAGAACTTGGTTTGGGTTGGTTTGCCAAGAATTCAGTACTGTCTCAGTGTTGTAAAATAGACTATGTCTGTACACAGGCAGTTAAAAAAAGATTTAACATAAGATACCATATTGTGTTTTTTAAAGAACTTTTTCTGATTAACAGAAGACAATTTTTAATAGCTAACATTAGCTACATGGACTAGCAGTCATGGTGTTTTAAAAGTATTAGCTTACCTAATGCAGCATCACTCATAAGTTTGTATCAAATTTTTTTTTTTAGCACTATGTTTTGGCTTTTTTTCTCAGATTCTATACTGTTAGTATCTTAAAATGTAATTGGGAGCATGTGCTGGATTCTGCCATTTCCTAGGAAATCTTATGAAAACTGGGTTGTGTTTGGAGGCTTGTTTGATTTTTCTTTGTTCTCATGAATTTCCTGTTTCATGGTAGGATATGATTCATTTCTCCAACAGCAGCATAAGTAGGCTTATGAAAATGTACCAGTACTTTTCAGCTTCCTTTTTTGAACTTATTCAGGGGTCAGGGATTGTGGGGATTAGTTAGGAGGATTGAAGTTTTCTTGGGTGAGAGAAAACATGGTTGGTAGTGTATTTTCATTCATAGGCACATATTATAAGGCCATATTGAATTCAGAGTGTATGTAGTCCAAGAAACTTTTAATCCTTGTCATTAATATCACATATATATACACATATATATGCATTTACACATATATATATGGGTATGTGTGTACACACATCATACTGAAAGGATTTGTGATTTTGTCTGTTGATCTGTATTACATGGTCTTCAAGAGTGACTTATGGCTAAAATTGATCAAAATTAGTATGGTAATGAGCCTCTCCAGATGTTCCATCTTACTTTTGAAACTTTTCCATCTAGACTTGCCAGAGATTGGGTTCTGTTGGCATAGCCTTTCACTAGGATATTAGTGCATACGCTCACATATGCACTTCTATACACACACATATCTCCATGCACACATGTAAAACTAGAGCTTCACTTCTTTTCCATGCTCTGGACCACACCTCTGGGAATTAATTGTGCTTCTAGTGTGTGAATTATCTCAAAGAGGGGAACTAGAAAGGACCTTTGCCCATTTGTGTATGCATGTAGATATATAACTTTTTTTTCCTCTGTGTGCTGCAGTTCATGGGGAGACTTTCTTCTAGATGTGATTCCTGGGCTTCTCTTTGATACTGCAAACAAAGAAGTAAAATTTCGGACTGGCATACCACGGCAACTACTTATGGTAAACAGAGGGGTAGAGATGGGAAGAAAATCAGCAGACTCCGTATCTACCAGTGTCAGAACAGAAGGTTGCAGAAACGATAGGACAGGGTTTCTTTCTGGAATCCCTCAGATACTTTCCCATCAGACGTCTCCGGAGTGAACTAGGCCTCTTCTTATCCTTTTGACCAAGGTAGTATGTAGTATTATAGGATATTTATGAGTTATGTGAGTCAGAGAACCAGGGACAGTGATTAAGATATGACAAGGATGGGACAGCTAGGTGGCACAGTGGATAGAGCACTGGCCCTGGAATCAGGTGGACCTGAGTTCATATCCCGCCTCAGACACATAACACTCACTAGCTGTGTGACTCTGGGCAAGTCACTTAACCTGAATTGCCTCACCAAAAAAAAAAGATATGACAAGGAGAGCTGTAGCCTGAGCAAGGAGCCATGACCTATATCAAATTGCCTGCCTTCTCAATGAGGGGATAGGGGAGGAAGGAAAGAAAAGAATTTGGAACTCAAAATTTTAAAAAACAAATATTAATTTTCACATGTAATTGGAAAAAATATTTTTAAAAAACCTTGGTGGGTACCTGTTGAGCTCTCCTAAAAGAAGATAAAGAATGATCCTTTCTCCCGCTTAAATTTCTCTCTTATAATAAAAAGGGATACAAGGAGTCCAGGTCAACCTTAGAGACCGTCCCCTTCCTGTTCATAAGTTTTGGGGGCTTTTATAATACCTACTGGGTAGATGGGTGTGAAATGGATAGAACAGCAGGCCTAGAGTCAGGAAGATTTATCTTCAAAAATTCAAATCTGGCCTCAGACACTTACTAGCTGTGTGATTTTGGGCAAGTCACTTAACCCTATTTGCCTCAGTTTTCTCATCTGTAAAATGAGTTGGAGAAGGAAAAGGCAAACCATTCTAGTATCTTTGTCAAGAAAATGCCAAATGGGGTTACGGAGAGTTGAACATAACTGAAATGAATGAATAACAACTAGGTAGACATGCTTGGAGTTTTGTCCTCAAGTGTATGCTACTGAATGCAAGAAATTCTCCTTGTTTGGATTTATGACAAAGTTGTTTTTTTTTTCTTTTTCTAGCAGGTGGACGACATAAGCGTTGCAACAAAAAGATTAAGTGGCTTCCTGAGGACTCTTGCAGATCGGTTGGAGGGTACCAGAGACCTGAGATCATCTGAAATGAAGAAGGATTTCATTAGGAGCAGATTGCCACCATATTATTTGGGAGATGGTTCCAATTTTTCCACCCCAGGTGAAATTTACTGTTTACTCTGTGGTACCTGACTTGGTTAGTTTGTCTTGATGCTTTATTGTGACTTGTATGGTACTACTTAGACCTATGTAGTTAACATAAGGGCAGGAAAGAACATAGGGTCACCATGGACCTAGGCATAGTATTAGTATATTTTGTCATTTTTGTCCTGTTACAGTTATAGGAACAACCCTTGAAAACCATTATTCTAAAGTGTGTTAACCATTATCAGACAGTATTTTAAGCATTATCCTGACAGTCAATCGAGAGTTGTGTAGTAGGAACAAATAGGTTATAGTGTGTTACCAACAATGATGTGATGGATAAACAAACATCCCTACTACATCAACACATTGGGTGAACATTACCCCTTTTTTCCCAGAGAATCTCATGGGTGACTGATGGGAAGACTTAAGTAGAAGTCACATGGGAGCAAAGGGTCTGCATAGATTGCACTCTACATTCTTGAAGGGAGTACTTAAGAGATGCATTGAAATAGTGAAGTCAGCGACTAAGCTGGAATCATCATGACCTCAGCGAATAGCCTAGAATCTTTCATAGGAGATGGGGTTTTTGTTTTGTTATTTTGCTCTGGGCTGGTTTTATTTTTGGAGTTTTTGTGTTTTGAAAGTTTTTTGGTCTCTTCTCTGAGCCATATGTTTTTGCTTTCACAAGACTTTGGTATATTCATTCATTCAACTCACAAGAACCTTTGAGTACCTACTGTTGTACTCTGTTGCACGTCACTTATGAATAAAACATTCCCATTAGGCCAGGAGTTCTTAATCTGGGAACCATGAACCTGGTGTTTTGTTGTTATTGTTTTTAATTTATAACTATTTCATTGTAATTGGTGTATTTAATGCATTTAAAAACATTACTGAGCCATGGACATGACCAGTTTGCCAAAGGGTCCCATGACAAAAATGGTTAAGAACAATTACACCATAATTATTTAATCATTTTTCCTCTCACAGCACCCCAACATCTTGTATATTGGGATGAGGCTAATTTAGGGAAATAGTAGGTTAGTATCTGACTTATTTGAATTAGAATAGGGGAACAAGGCCATTTGAGGAAATAGTCAAGATCTGCTCAAACAAAAGTTGGAGAGAACACTTGGGCATTTATTTTGTTTGCATCTTAACTAGATCAAATCTGAACCATTTTATTTCTCTTTTTGAATAATGCTTTTCTTTTGGTGGGGTTTTATTGTAGGTGGAAAGTTCCCAAAATTAAATAGCAGAGTAAGACTGCAATTTAAAGACTACATCGTTATGACAGTGGAGGCAGACAAGTATGCATCTGTGAGTATCAATGAATCATGGTCTATACTATGCCTCCTCTTCCCCCACCACCTCATTTTTAAACTGCAGTGCGCCCTTACTGTTCTAAGGCCCTTACTCTAAGGCATCACAGCAGGAATTAGTCTCATATTTTTAGGAAATTATAATTGGAAAGTCCTGAGCTATCCACAGCTCTCTGTTAGTGTCTCCTTAGATCCTCTGCTTAAGGGGTCCTGTCGGTCTTGATGGCGATAGAATTTGGAACCATAACAGGAGCTTAAAAGATAATAAAAGCTAATCCCTTCATTTTATAGATGACAGACTCCAAATCATATTGGTAGCAAGAGGTGGATTCAACATTCAAACTGTCCAACATATCCAGGTGCACATGACTCTCGGATATCTTTATACCAATCAATGGGCTCCACAGGATCATATATTTAGAGCTGAATAAGACCTTGCAGATTATCTGATTCAACCTTTTAACTTTACAGGTGAGGAAACTGAAACCAAGAAAGGTTAAATGACTTGCCTAAATAAGTAATAAGTAGCAAAGCCAAAACATTTCAGCTCAAACCAGTCTTCATTTTGACTGCCTTTTCACACTTCCCTACTGTGAATCAATCACCTAGACTCAAAATATGTCACTATTTACTTGTAGCTAGGTGGCTTAGTATTTAAGAATGCCAGACTTGGAGTCAGAAGACCTAAGTTCAAATCCTACCTTAGACACTAGTCACACTAATGTGACCCTGGGCAAGTCGTTTGCCTCAGTTTCCTCATGTTTATAAAATAATAGCATCTAATCTGTAAAGCACTTTGCAAATCTTAAAGAACCATATATTAAACATTGCTTGTTTCTCCCCCGAGAATCTCATGGGAAGATTAATGGGAAGTTAGGCAAAAGTCACAGGAAAGTATAAGGTCTGTGTAGACTGCATCCTATGCTCGTATTTTCCCCTTCTTTTTTCCCATCATATTCAGCCAGTTTGTCCCTCAAATCAATCCTCCCTTGCCCACAATGCCACCCCTCCATCTGTCTCATAGTAGAAGTACTCTACTGGCTACTGATAGGTCTTTCTGCTTCTTAGTCCTTTCCTTCTTTATTTCATAATTTCTTTTTTTGGTGAGGCAGTTGGGGTTAAGTGACTTGCCCAGAGTCACACAGCTAGTGAATGTTGTGTGTCTGAGGCCACATTTGAACTCAGGTCCTCCTGACTCTAGGGCCGGTGCTCTATCTGCTGTACCACCTAGCTGTCCCTCAGTTAATTTTTTACTAAACAGCTTTTTACAAAGCTCTCTTGTGCATGAATCTTCTCTTGACTCCCCATTGCCTTTGCAGAGACTTGGTCTTGGTGTAATCTTAATGCCCTTTGAAGACAAACTTCACAATGAGGAGTGGAGTTATTAACCCCCTTGCGGGGTTTGATTGACTGCTTAAGAGAGTACTTGGAACTCAGGGCAGCTCCTGAAAGAACAATTAAGTTTTATCATATGATTTACAATGCTAGGTAAAACTAATAAAACTATCATCTATTTTTATACCAAGGAAATGCTTGGCAGATGGTATTTTGCCATTCACAGCCAGGAGTTAGGATACCTTAACAAGCTGTTTACCACCCCATTATTGGATTTTTAAAAAATCTTGGTCAAAAAGTTATATGTTAATCAGTTTTCTTTGTGGAGAAGAGAACTTGGAACAAATCAGGTGGAGTTGCATACAGGTAGAATTAGATTCCATGTAAGAAAAACTTTTGTTAGTCCTGGAGCAGAATGGGCTGCCTTTAAGAGGTATTGCTATTCCTCTTACTAGAAGAGAAGGCTAGGTTATGTTATAAAGAAGATTCTTTGATTAGATCTGAGGTCTCTTCCAAATCTCTGGGCACCTGTGGAATCTGAAAATTCTTGATGTTAGAGAATGTAAAGTACCTCCTGCATAACCCTACTTAACAAGTGGACCAGTATTTTAAAACATGCAAACTAATCCTATTCAGAAGATGTGTAAAGGCTGGGATTCTTATAATCTAGCCACTGCTTAGATTCTTACAATCTAGCCAGTAAGCCAGTAGCTTACTAATGTTCAGACTTCTTAAGAGTCTGCCCAGTATGATGGATGTTCTAATCTTGTCTTTGGCTGAAAGAAGGCTTGGGTCGAATTCTTTTGAGCAGGACCCATGTGTTGTGATAGTGGGGTTCCAGGACCCTTGAACCCCTAAATTGCATCATTTTGGTGGCCCATACGGGGAAACTGCCTGACCCCAAGTTCTTCTGCAGCCAAGACTGGAAGGTACATAAGCCTCCCCTCCCTCCTTTCTTGCTCTGCAGTTAGGGTTGCTCTCCAGGCATCAAGGCTTGGAGGTGCTTTTCTGACAGACAGTTATGAGGCTGTCTCTCATTCAGCCTGATGCTCTCAGGCTCTCAGTCCACTAGGTCGGTTCAAGGCCATGGACCTGGGTACACCTGCAGCATAGAGGACAAGGACGGACTCCCTATCCGGAAGTATATGCTCAATTCTGTTAATTCCCTTGGCACTAGGGAATTGGGGACGGCAGTTGCTTTTGGGTTTCCTGAGGCTTACTTACTCCCTTGCCTCTGCACCTCTGAATCCTCCTTCATGGAGGTTACAGGGAAAGTTAGAACAGCTAAAAATGTCTTGGCAGATTCTGAAGGTTTTGTGATTATTTTGAAACTCCTCCTTACGATCCTGGTCACTCCTTTCTCCCACTCCCTTCCCTTGAGTCAAGGGGGTATCTGTTTACCCCTCACCTTTGATTTCACCCTCTCCCGCCTGGGAAAGGAAGGAGGGGTGAGGGGCAGCAGCTATAGCGTGGGCCCCACAGCTTGGGCTCTAGGGCAACCTTTGCCTGGAGCACATCCTGCTCAAGGTAATGAAGCTGGCCTCCAAACTTGGGTAAGCAGCTCTTTTAAATTTGTAGTTTTAACTGTTAATGATGAGATGTTGAATCTCTGTGTAAAGTAATTTGGAAGTACATTTAACAAAACTGAAGTAACCTGATTTGTAATGGGTTTATTTCAAGTTTCAAATTGGTGAACTTTCTGTATCAGTTATGTCAAGCAACTTTTCATAATTTGGTTACCACTAAAATAATTTAGCTATTGTTGGTTATTGTTTTTTTTTTTTTAAACTTGTTTGGGTTATATATGGCTTGCTGAGAATTTCCCAGTGTATAGAAATCTCTAATGATTGGCTTTTTACATCAGGACAAATTTAAGTTTGAGATGTAAATCCTGGAAAAGTTTTTCCTAAGCTGTGATTAGCAAAACTTGATGTTTGAGGTAAAAGCTCATAGGATTTTATTTTGAGTTGTCTGATGGGTCATAATCCATTGATAATCAATAATCCACCATCTGAGAGATATGCCACAAGCTACTCAGAGAAGGTGATAATGGTGGGAAGTATGTTCCTTTGAAATGTTACCCACCTGGCTATTCCTGAGTCTGGCTATGAGGTGGATTTGATACTGCATGGTTGGAAAAGTGAATTACCTGAATCCAAAAAGAGCTAAGGATGTTTTATCCTCTCAAAGTTGGGCCCTAAATCTAGTCCCTGCTTTATATCTGGGCCCTGCAGTTTTTTCTGTCAGATTTATGTCTTCCAGACTATGGGCCATTCTGGTAGCAAACAGCGAGTGCCAGCCAATGTCCCCATATTGTTCCCTGGATGCTGCTTGTGCTTGGTTCCAGTCAACATACTCTTTGGGACCCCCTCAAGGCAGGGACAGCTCTACGCCCCTTGCCAGCAGGAAGTAGTTTCAGAAGCCGAGACCTTCGCCTCTTACTCCAAAAGAATTTGGGACCCATTTGTTTGAGGGAGAAATGATGGGGTTGGGATCTGGGCCCCAGAAAGGAAAAACCACATGGCCAAAACTCTGGCATTCGCCTGAGGCTATAATCCCATCAACTGGCCTTTCATTGTGGCTACAAGCAATCTCCCCTCCATTGTCTTACCTTCCCTATGGCCCCTGGCCATTTCCCATACTTAATCCTAGCTAGGCTCCATTGTCCAGGTCCCAGGAGTACTGTTCACCTCAGTTTACTGGCCACTCCCATCCAGATCTCCTTAGGCTCCTCCTCCCATCACCCCAAACTACTTGGCCACTCCTAGATCCCTCCCACAGGCTTTCTGTATAAAAGGTCCGTCTTGTCTCCATTAAGATGCTGGGATTCTTATAATCTAGCCACTACTTAGATTCTTATAATCTAGCTGGCTTACTATGACTTTGCTCATACTTTCCTTCATGTTGATGTTTTCCCCATTTCTTTTTCTCTCTCTAAATACTTAAAAGTTCATATAAGAAAATCCTTCTCAATCATGAAATCATCTACTTCCAGCCAAATTGTCCTTTCCATCAGCTGAACTCCTTATCTTGTGACCTTTCTTCTATTGTTAATTTACATCTTATAACTTAGTGTCTCTTATCTTCGTAGCTAAATCATCTGATTTGATGGAAAAAATAACAGATAAGTAATGGAAAAACCCGTGTGTTCAGTTGCCCACATAAATATAGAGACCTATGGAGGATTTTTGGGAGGATATGAACCACAGTCACATAGGATGAAGAAGAATGTATGTTTGAGGTGTATATGCCCTTGGGAGAATAAACCCACAATCAGATCACAGATCCCTTGAAGTATTCTTTAGTTATAGTTTTGGACTTTTCATTAAATGAGATATTCTCTTTCTGCCAAATTAGAGAAGCTTTAGAGCATGTAGAAATCCATCTGTCAAAAACAGCAGTTTTCAACCAAAACTTTCAAAAGCTCTTAATGCTACTTTAATCCTGCAAATTTTGCAGCTAGTGACTTTTCTCTCTTTTTAAGGATGAGGCTCAAGAACAAATGGTTTACATCTATCATTCTTTGAGGAATAAGCGGGAGACACACATGATGTTTGCAAATGACAATGAAATGGCAAAGGTTTGTTTCTACTAAACTGAATGAAAATACTTTTTTTGAGTTTGGTTGGTAAAAGTAGTAGTGTTTGAAGTTATTTTTGCTTTGAGGGTAGTTTTATTTATTATTGGTCAGTGGGCAGTAGCATAGCTTTCTTTATACCATTCCTTCCCAAACTGTTCTTTCAGAAAATCTTGACAACACTAAGCTATCTGGAAAGAGCTATCCCTTCTCCCAATTTAGCAGGTCATAGACTTAGTGCTCGAAAGGACTTAAGAGGTCTTCTAGTTCAACCCTCTCATTTTATGAAGAAGGAAGCTGATACTCAAAGAAGTGACAGAGCATAATTAAGAAGTCCTCTCACCATAGGGCCTCTTTCCTCTTAGCTTAAGCTCTCCTACCTCACTTCTTAAGGGGCAAAGTATAGGACAAGAAATAGCACTACCCATCACTTATGGGCTATGCACACAGTCCTTCACTTTTTCTCCAACATACAAGGTCCCTCCCTGCATCTTGCGGTGTACTTACAGGAACAAATGATTTCCTCTTGGTCTAGGCCAAAGCACCCATTTTTTTTTTTTTTTTTTTTTTTTTTAGGCAATTGGGGCTAAGTGACTTGCCCAGGGTCAAATGGCTAGTAACTATCAAGTGTTTGATCTGAGGCCGGATTTGAACTCAGGTCCTCCTGACTTCAGGGCCAGTGCTTAATCCACTGCGCCATGTAGCTGCCCCTAAAGCACCCATTCTTAAAGAGCTCATGGTGCTTACCATTTTTGGTTCTATCAGTATGTTTTAATGAATGTTAAGTGGCCAAATTAGTTGTTTCCATGAGAGTTTGACTGAAATGTGATTCTTTTTCATTTAAAGTTTGAAGTTATTCAAATTATTTGTTATTACTGAAGTTATTATATTGAAGTATATCAGTATAGTAGACATAGTATTATACTTACTAAGTCATGAGGGAAACATTTAATGGCCTTTATTTATCATTCATGCTTATTATTTTTATCTGTGTGTATTTTTTTTTGTCTCTATTTTCATGGTTTTCAGCAGGGACAATCAGTATCTCTCATTCAGAGTCGTCACACCTTTCTCTAAAGGACAGTGATGGATATAGAACTCTCCTAGATATCTCACTATAGGACTGAAATTTCCTCATAGTCCACCAAGGTTTTGTGGAACACAATTTGGGAAATGTTGAACTAAATGAGTTTTTTCTCCCCTTTCAGGCTCTTGGACTTCGCTTTCCTTTATCTCATATGGATGCCCTGAAGCAACTTTGGAGTTCTGAAATTATTTCTGTTAAGGAACTGAAACTTAATACAGATGCAGAGAAGGAAAACCTGGTGTTAGCACTCTGGACTGAATGCCTAATGGAAGTAATCTAGTGCCTTTGTCAAGTCAGCACTTCCTATAAAAGGGTAAAACAGTTTTTCCACTTACTTAATAAAGAATCATTTGCTATCTTTGCTTAGGCCACAGGGAAAATTGTCTTACTGTCTGTCTTATCTTCCAGCCAAATCTTCATCCTGTTTTAGGAAAAAGGTCCATTTAAGATGGTTCATTTTAAACTACTCCCAAAATCAGTTTTCAAGGTATTCTGCATAGGAATAAAATGGGTAAGGCTTATTAGCCAATGGGACAAAAACAGTACCTGCCCTAGCTTTGCTAAATACAAGATTCAGATGGCCAGATCTGGCCCCTAAATAGTACTTGTATGATTATGTACTAAGTTATCTGGCCACCTTTATTTTAAGAGAGGGGCATTTAAAAAGTGAAGAAACCACATCTGTGTGTGACAAGTTTATTTTATTTAATCCAGTGTTGTAAAAAAAAAGCACAACTCTGATTTCTTTTCAATTTAAATGTGGTACCTGGCCTTGTTCTTTGGATATAGTAACTTTTTAAAAAATTACCCAAACTTGTTGCTCCAAAAAGAAATTCCTTAAAACAATTTAGAAGAAAATTTTTTTTAAAATCTAATTTTTACAGCAAAAGTAGACAGGTTTCTTCTATGTGTACAGAAAGAAGGCTTCCATTAACATTTTTAAAGCCTTCAGTTACTCCTGTTACATCAAGTTCCATTAAATAACACTGGCACAGCAATGAGATGCATTCACATCAATGGGTCCATTGGAATTTTTACAAATGCTTCTTGAAAGGAGCCAAGACGACAAAAGGAAAAAAAAA